CTGCCCCCCTCCTCCCACAACCCTCCTTCCAGAGTCCCCCTCCCATAGCCCCCCTCTTCCCATAGCTCCCATCCTCCCACAGCCCCATCACATACTCTCTCATCCCACACCCTCCTCCTACTCCCTCTCCTGCACCTCCAACATCTCCCTCCCACCTTCTCTGCTCTTTCCCTTTTCCTTCCCATCGTCCTTTCCTCCCAATATACCCTCTCTCCTGTTTCCAGTTCCTTCCGCCCTGCCTCCCTGTCCTTCTTCTCCATTCTTTCCTCCCCCTTGCCCCTTCCCTCTTCCACCCCACTCCACCTTTCTCCCTTCTCCCGTTCTATCTCTTCTTCCCCACTCCTTCTAGTAATCCTCCCTCCTGCTCACCTGTCCCCATCATCTCCCCCTTCCTTCCCTCTTCCTTCCTCTACACCCCATCTTTTCTCCACTTCCCCTGACTCCCTTTCCCTTTCTCACTCCCCCCTCCCACAGTTCCCTTCCTTTGTCCACCCCCTCCTTCCATCTCCCTCTTTCTGGAACCTTCCTCTCTTCTCCCTCTTCCCACCTCCCTCTCCCCTCTCTTCCATTCTTTCCCCTTCCTCTCCTCCTCTCTTCCCATTCCACCTCCACCCCGTCCTCCTCTAACCTCCCCTCTACTATCTCTCCTCCTACCTCCCCAGTTTCTTCCCATTTCCCCCTCCCCCTCCTCCTACTCCACCTCTTCCCTTCTTCCCTCCCCAGTTCACCCCTTCTCCCCTTTCCCCCTCCCTGCCCTCTTTCTCCCTCCTTTCTCTTCTTCCCACCTCTCTTCCCCTCCCCTTTCCTCCTTCCCTCCCCTTTCTCCTTCTTTCACTCCCTGCCTCCTCCCTCTCGTCTCTCTATCTCTTCCCCTTGTCTCCTCCCTCTTTACCCCACTCCTACTCTCTATTTCCCAGTCCTTCCCTTCCTCTCCCTTCTCCCCTTCCTCCTCCTCTGCTCTCCCTACCCTTTCTCTGCTCATTTTTCTTCTCCTTTCTGTCCCTTGTAGTCTCCTCCTCCTTTCCCCCTCGTTCTTCCTCCCAGCTCCCCTTTCCCTCATCCCCTTCTACCTCCCCCATCTTCCTCTTCTCTCCCTCCTTTTGCTCTTCTCCCTCCATTCCTCCTCCCTCGCTCGGTCTAGCCCCACATTGCCCTCCTCTTTCTCCTTCCTCTCACACATTTTTGTGGGTCCCCTCTTCCTTCCTGTCCTGTCTTCCTCCAAACCTGCCTTCGTCCTACACACTCTCGAACCTGTTGACCACTTATACGTGGCTTTAGGAAGCAGGTCCTACATGGTGAGCTGGGCTATCAGTGGGTTTTGGGGGCTGGATTGCTTACACCAGAGCTCCCACCAGCCTCAGCCCACCTGGCAGGATGCTTCACTCCTTAGGTGCCCCCACTGAAGCTACCCAGACACTAGGAACTAGCTCAGACCAAAGTGGCAGTCCAGCCTCACACCCCGGTCCCTCGGAGGCTGCCCCACTGACTGAAACCAGGCAGGACTTTGTGATGCAATAAACAGGCACCTGTATCCATGTCCCCCAGATCCCCTGTTGCCTCATCGGGGTGGGGTTCCCTGGGGGATGGCCAGCTGCACTGTGCCTCTCCCCCCCCCACCCCACCAGTAGTCCCTTCCACCAGCTCTGCCGCCAGCAGCTTATCATCAGGTAAACTGAGGCTGGAGGGCCAGTGGGCTCTGTCTGGAGTCTGGGAGGTAGAGCGGGGAGGGGAGCTCCGGGGAGGTGGTAGCTGAGCCCCTTGAGGAGTCAGTTGGTTAAATGGGGCCCCAAAGCAGCATTTGTTGGGTATCCCAAGAACATGCTAAGAGTCCCAAGCCTCAGTCTTCCCATCAAATGGGTTTACCAGGACTCTGTCCAACCCCTGACCTTTGCTGCCCAGCCTTCCCTGGTCCTGCCAGCTGGTGGCACTTTCAGCCCAGGTCACAGCTCTCCATGCTGGCAACTGTCTATCATGAATCCAGACTCTTGGACACAAGCACCCATCCCACAGACAGGCTGATTCCTAAATCACACAGAAGCCAGACAGCCTGTGAGGAAGAGGACTCCAGAGTCCAGGGTAGCTGGGAGCTACTTGCCAAGCCTCAAATCCCTTGGCCTTCCATGGCACCCTGCTACTTCCTGATACGGTGACCACAGGAAAGTTGGCTTACCTCAGTTTCCCTTGAGCATAGACTTGCCAGCACACACCGCAGCATCTGCAGCTCCTCACCACCACACAACCTCGCCAGACCTTTAAAAGGCCTCCAGGGCTGACAGCACAATTCCTAAGCCTTCAAGTTCACAGCCGCGGGCAAATGAAGCTGGCTCTCATCTTGCATGTGACCCTGGGTCCCCCATTGCCTTGTGAAACTTTGCTTCTGGCAAAGATGCCACTGGGGATGGTCTGTGGGGAGCTTCTGCACCACCCCTGCTCTGCCCTGCCCTGTCCCCTGTCTCCCACCTTCTGCCTCGTGTGCAAACGTCCTATGGCTGGCATAGCCTGTAGTTACAGGCTGGGGCTTAAGACCACAGGAGAATCTCTTAGCAGGTAGGAAAGCTGAGGACTAGAGCCCAGCAGGTCCGCCCATCTCAGCCCCAGGATTGCTCTTGCTGGCTCTGCCATCCCCAGTACTGCAGGCTGCCTCAGCCCTGACCTCAGGCTCAGAGCTAACCAACCCAGGTTGATTTCATTTCAAGGTCCTCGATGCATCTGTGAAGACACTTTTCCCACACAGTCAGCTCTCAGGTTCCTGGGGTTAGGATGTGGGCAAATGGCGGCCACCAACATTAGTGACACCTGTTCCCTCTGCTCGGGGTTGATGGTGTCTTACATGGATCTGCTGTAACAGTTCACGTTACAGACTGCTGACATCACACACACACACACACACACACTCGCACACACGCACGCACGCACCACCTTTCCCCTTTCACTCACACTATCTCCCCCTGCCCCGTCACATCCTTCCCACTGTTATTATAATAACAGGAAAGATACAAGAGACAATATTCTAGATAGTCACAGGGGGAGAAGCTGATCAAGCGGCTTAGAGAGTTAGACCTGGGGCCAGGCTGGGGCCCTTGAGCAAGCCTTACCTGCTCACTCAAGTCCTCCTGTTTCTCTGCACACCATCAAGTCTACCCTGCCCCATCCCTTTCTCCTAGGGCTTTCTGATCTCCCCGAGTCTGGTGCCCTGCACCACCCAGAGGGGCTTATCCCTGCCTATCTCACCTTCCCCCAGAACCATGGGGTGGTAGCCCTGTGAGCTCTGCACCCCTCAAAGCTCATCTGTGTACCTGAGCACCAGCAGAGCGCTGCCCTTCCAAGCCTAGTCCCTTTGTGACCTCCATTAAGGTGCCTCCCCTCAGGCTTCCCATTTAATAATACCTGGATTTTGCTTTGTAAACCCCCCAGCACCCAGGCAGGGTTGGAGGTTCCCTCCCGCTGTGTGCCTAGCATCCTTTGGCTCCTAAGAGCCTTGTGCTGCCCAGATCATCCCTTCCTCTAACATCTGACAGACCTACACCAGGACTTTGGCACCCACCCTACTGGGCCCCTCAGGCCTGAGAGCCCAGCTTCAGCTCATAGCCCCCAATATAGTGCCCTGGCAGAGCTGGCCATCTGGCTTTCTTACTCCAGGGTCATAAAGATCATCCCTGAGAGGGAGAAAAGGGAAGACACCCTGCCCCACCTGCCTGGAACTCACATCCCAGTGTGGAGGATCACACGAACACAGGAACAGGTAAGTGTGAAAAACACGGAGGAGCAGTGGGCGCTCTGTGGAAAACGCAGATCTGTCCAGTGTGTGTGTACCTGGGTGTGTATACACCCATGCAAATATATATGGAGGTCAAAGGAAGACTTGGGTGCCTCCCATGGTCATTCTCCATTTTCTTTTCCACCGGGCTCCTGAGTGCTGGCTGGGATAACGGTGTTTGCCACTCTACCCAGCCTTCCCACTACACCGGAAGCTCACAGTGTTTTGAGCCATCTCCACCCCTAACTATTGGATGATAGGCATGCACAGCCATACCTGGCTTCTATGTGGATTCAAGTTCAGGTCCTCTGAATTCCTGCCTTGAGAGTGGGCTTACCACTGAGCCATCTCTCCAGCCCCAGAAAGCACCATTCTATACAGGGCGCTGTGGTCTCACTGAGGAGACACTGTTCACAGGGAAACCTACAAACAGAAGGAAGAAGGGTGGACGGTCAGAGCATTGTGTGCCTAGGGAATGGCTGCAATTAAGCCTCTGAGGCACGAATGTCAGGCATGCAATGAAGCCATCCAACTCCCGAAAGGGCTTCCAGAGATGCTCGTGAGATTTGCTGTGGGCCAGTGTTGAAATAGAAAGCGGTGGGGCTGCGTCCCCAACACCCCGGCCGCTTGGCTAGCTCATGCCCGAAATAACAACATACAAACTGTATTCATTTAAGAACTGCTTGGCCCATGAACTCTAACCCTTACAGGCTAATTCTCGCACCTGGACTAGCCCATTTCTAATGATGTGTGTAAGCACCCCAAGGTGC